GTCCTGGGTCCTCCTACAGTTGTGTGGTTATTCTCCTATGGCTGGTCTTTGTCCCTACCAGAGGGCTCTGAGAGGAAGCAAGAGGTTGAGATGGAGTGATGGGGAGAGCTGAGAGAGAAAGTATTCATTGCTAGAATGAGATCCATTGTCTCAAACTGAAACTTGGCAGGTTGCTGGACCCTTTGCAAGGCCACCCATGAGCTTCTGCAGCTCCAGGCGTGTATTAGTGGTGGCTGGGACACAGTAGCATGAATTGGGTCACTTAACTGAAATCTAGGGTGTCACAGATCTGGTAGTACTGGCAGGTTGCTTCCCTCTGAGGGCTGTGGAGAAGGAGACGTTCCAGGCCTCTTCCCTTGGCTTGGAGATGTGGATTTCTTTCTCCCTCTGTATGAGTGTGGGTCTAAAGTTCCTTCTCCTACAAGGACAGCAGTCAGTGACCCTATCTCCCAAGTAAAATCCTACTCTAAAGTGTTAGAGTTAGGACTTCAGCACAGGAATTTTGACACACATCCTGAACAGGGCATTTTGAGGCCCTAGGGTACAAGTGGAGTGAGGGAGTGCACACAGTTGCTCACTAAGATGTGTCTCATCTTATTTTTCTTTCTCTGATGATCTTGGGCTCTGAGGCTCCATTTCCCCATCTGCAAAATAGAGATTAGTCAGTGGATATCATGTGCCACTGACTCTACACAGATGCCTTGGAAAACTTTGGGAGTTCAAGGCTGTTGATCTCTCTTCCCTGCTGAACTTTGGCCTTCCACTCCTGGGAGCCTGACCTTGGATATACTATGAAGTGGAAAATCAAAGATGTGGAGTGGCTTCTTCACCATTTTCCACTATCTCAGAATAGAGTGGAAGCACCAGGGCAGGGCTCCAGCCCAGCATCCCTGCTAGGGCCAAGTTGCACTCCCAGTCCACACCCCTGCTGCCTGCTGAGCCTGCTAAATATAGCTCCTTCCCAGAACAACGAAGAGAGGCCATGTGCCCATGGCTGCAGTCCCAATGACTAGCTTCTGGGTTGTCTGTCAGGCAAGCAGATGGCTGGGACTCTTTAGAGCCAGCCATAAAAGTCACTATGCAGCATAGTGACATTGAGACCCAGACTCCTAGAGGACATGCCCTTGGTCTTTTGTCTCTGGGGATGTGTGGCTCAGAGCCCTGGCCTAGGTGACTGAGCAAGGTTAAAGGGTAAGGAAATCCATGATCTTCCCAGGAAGTAGGAAGAGCCTGTCTTTACCTGACTCAGATAGATCCTTGGCCTTAAGTCTCAGTCTCCACATCTGTGAGGTAAATGGAATGACCATATCTGTGCCTCCAGGTGGCATGCGGTGCATGTTGGGAGGCGATGGATGACCATGGCAGCCTCTGACATGGGGCAGCTCGTCCATCCTGCTGTGCTCTGCCCTCAGTGTGAGTGCTCTGTTTATGTTCTGAAGTTCTCCATCAGTCCGAGAGTTTGAGAGGCAGGAGATCTGTAGGGGGTCTGTAATGGTGGAAGCTGCTGAGTCTTACCCCAGACAGAGGTCTTTTCCCAAGACCTCTGTCTCTTATCTCAGGCCTCTTCCCAGCCTGGATCCAATTGACCTCCCTTTGTGCATTGACCTAAATGAAGAGCACAACAAAGAAAAACTGGTATGAATGAAAAGAAGCAAAACCAGGCTCTGGGCCTGGCTGTGGTAGGGGAGTCACTGGCCCACATTGTCCCCTTCACCTGCTCAGTTTTGCTAAGGATGGAGAACTGGATCTCTTCCTTAACTAGCTAATAATGCTACCACATTGTCCCCTTCACCTGCTCAGTTCTGCTAAGGATGGAGAACTGGATCTCTTCCTTAACTAGCTAATAATGCTACCACTAAGGGGTCCTCTGAAGAGAGAGAGCTCATATAAACAACCTTAGCATAGGGACAGCCTGGTCCGCTTGCATCCAGGGACTGCTTCACACCAGGACTGTGCCTCCTGGGAGCACACAGGCCGCTGCCCACTGGTTGATGCCTATAGATACGAGTCAGGACTAGATGTTTAGCCCCGGTGGTGACACAGAGACTCAAGAGTTGCTAGAGGAAGCATTAGGTTCCTATTGTTCAGACCTGCCGTTTTCTGCCTACACACTGGCCCCAGGTGGGACATGCCAGGAATTAGGCCTTGGAGGAAAGGAAGAGCAGGTGCCAGGCTGCCTGTTGCTATAGCCATTATGCAGAGAGCACAACAATACAGAGCCTTACACATAGCTCTTGCTGTGGTTCATGCTGCTGCTGCTTCTTGCTTCTTGATTTTTGCTTCCTTCTTCCTTCTTTCTTCTTTGTGCTGGTCCTGGGACTTGAACTCAGGGCCTGGGTGCTGCCCCTTAGTTTTTATGCTCAAGCCTAGTGCTCTACCATTTTGAGCCAAGGTGCCATTTCTGGCTTTTTGGGGGTAGATAATTGGAGATAGGAGTCTCACAGACTTTCCTGGGCTGGCTTTGAACCACAATCCTCAGATCTTAGCCTCCTAAGTAGCTAAGATTACAGACATAACCCACCAATGCCTAGCTTCTCAATAGAGGTTTAACCAGCAGCCTAAGGTCATGTAGCTCTCCGGAGCTCTCCAGGATTTAAGGTCTGGGTTGCTGGGAGTATCAGGGTCTCTAGTCTGATCATGCTCTTTCAAAAGCAATGGGCTGGAATTGTGGCTTAGTGGTGGAGTAAGCACCTAGCATGCATGAGGCCTGGGTTTCAAACGTGATGCTAGAGACTGCTGAGAAGGTTGGCTGTATATCCTCTGCTAGGGCCTGCTAAGGACCGCTGCCTGTCCTCTGCAGATGAGCTGTTAGGCTGTCTTATAACAAAAACACTGAGTATTCTGAATGGAATGTCAGATGGAATTAACCTCCCAGAGCTCTTGGAAGTATCAAAAACATGTTAGCTTTCCTGTATTTCCTGTATTATATTTTTAAAGGGCCTTTGAAAAGCTTCTATGCCCCATATTTTTTCCATTCTTTGAAAAAAAAAAGAGGCAAATGGTGTCACTGCTGCTTTGCAGGCACGGAGTGGAGGAATTAACAGACACTTCACAATGGAGAGTTGGGAAGGATCGTTATGCAAAGGATCCTAGCACGTGTGTGTGCATATATATATATATATATATGTATGTATGTATGTATGTATATAGATATATAGAGATATATAGAGAGATATATATATACTTATGTATGCGTGGGCTGCTTTAGCGAGGGCCCTGCAGAAGCTGCTAGGCCAGGATGAGCAGGATTATGGGGAGAGGCTCTGGAGAGTAATTTAGGTCATATGTACAATGTCAGCAAAGGGATCACCTTTGACATTCTGTTTTTGTTTTTTTTTTTTTAAGAAATCACAGTGAAAGGGGGGAGGCTGGGAAGGGAGGTGAAGGGTAAACAAAGGAGGAGGCTGCAATGCTTGGTAAGAAATGTATGCATTATCCTGCCCATGTAATTGTAACCCCTCTGTACAGTATGTTCTCAAATAAAATAAAATTAAATTAAAAAAAAAAATCAGAGGTCAAGAGTATGATAAGCTCAACAACACAAATTATGTGATTCTACACATTAAATACTTAAACTTGGGGTTTACTAAATAAAGTTCTGCTGGCAAAAAAAAAAAAAAAGAAATCACAGTGAAGAGTAAAATTGTTTTGTTACTCTGAGAGTCAGTCTGAAGTTCCTGCTGGACCTAGAGCCTGGTGTGTGGTGGTGATTTCTACCAAGCAACCATGAGTGCCTTGGGGTCAAAGCCAGGCTAACACTCATCTTCTCAGATCCTGCAGGGTTGACTAGGGGGCAGCCAGACCTGGATCCAGGGTGCCTGATGCTTCCTAGTGAGAGTGCCCATTTCCCTTAGCTACCTGGCTAGGGCCTCTCTGCTGGTCCCTTGCCCACACAAACTCAAGCCCTAGAGACGCTGTCTGTAGCCACTGGCACAGCAGGGGTGGGACAACCCTGAGCATTGTAGTCTAGGCCTGCTTACCCATGCTTTTCGAGGTTGGGCTCCACCCATTTTCAGGATGGAGGATGTCCTGAGACAGAGTAGAAGGTCACACTGTCCATGAAGACCCTTTTCTAGAAGGCGTGCTGGGGCCTGGCAACACCAGGCCTTTGGGGGGCCTTTGCCATCTCTGGCTATCACATCAGGAGCCCTGACTGAGCCCCTCTACTTGAGTCCATGGGTAGGAATTGTCCCTCTACCCTGATCTAACCTTATTCTCTCAGGGGACCCTAGGCCTTGCCAGGCTTCCATTCCCAGGTGGCAACAGAGGGAAGGCTGGTCCTAGCTGGTTAAAGATGTCAAGTTCAGCACAGTGCTCACTCCCCAGACACAGCTGATTCATGATTGAGCCTAACCTGCTGTTAGGCTCAGGTCTGATGGACCTCCCTCCCCTGCCAAATGGAACCAACAATGTAAGAAAGGGACCTGTCTGGGAGGGCTAGACCCCAGCCACCTAACATTCCCTTAGAAGCTGGTAGCTACCTTAACCTCTCGGCAGGAGCACTAGCCCCAGGGCACTATCAAAGGGCATTCTACAGCCTGTGGCCTCCAGGATGGTGGCCAGTGGGGCAGCATCTGTCTTCCCGGGCAGCAGAGCCCCCTGGGCCTGTTCTCTGGCCCTTCCCGTGCAGTCATGCAGAGCCTGGAATGCATTAATGCCTTTTATTAAACCCATCTGCTCCCTATAAGAGTATCTCAGGTCCCTATGCTCCCCCCACCCTGAGTGTGGGGGGAGACTTCACACAGGCCATGATCATGTGGTTTGGGCAGGCATGGGACCATCGAGGCTCCATCTAAGGGAGTTTGAGAAAACAGTACTGCCCTCTCTGAGTGAGGCAAATGTTGTGAATGCCAGCCAGGCTGGGCTCAAGGAAGACTGAGATCTGCAGGCCTTTACTGAACTTCCTGGGTCTGTGCCTCATCCAAGACTGGGATAAAACCAGGCGTGGCCCTTCCAGCTCTGCAGTTCACCGACAAAGCTGCCCTTCCTCTCCTCCCCAGGAGTGCATCATTGACGAGGACTGTGGGTCTACCAGATACTGCCAGTTCTCCAGCTTCCAGTATACCTGCCAGCCATGCCGGGACCAGCAGACGGTGAGAATGCCAGTGGTGTCTCCAGAGCAGCACCACCAAGGGAATCGGAAAGAAGGCCAGAGGTCTCAGGGGTTCATAGCCAGGCTCCTGGAAAAGCCCTTCCATTATAGGCATGCCCCTAAAGAAACCAACTCCTGAGTGACTAAGGAGCCATCTCAGCCTAGGATGCCAGGCAGCCACCTGCAGACATGCTGCCACTGCCACTGAATCACAATCTCTGGTCACAGTGTCTGCCTCGTGGGTGGCCCAGAGATGAAGCCCAACACCAGGTCCTTGTCCTGGGACACCTGTCCTAGTAGACACAAATATGCAGTAGACAAATCTGCAGCCCCCAGGCAGGAACAAGAGCTGCCTGTCTCTTCCCTTCTCCAGGATCTGCAGCCCACCCTCCAGATCTTTCTCCCAATCTGCTTTGTAATTGGGCAGAGGGAGGAGTCAGGAGAAGGGAGCATTCCCTCAGTGGAGGTTTTACTGAGGAACTGAGCCAAGGCAAAGGAACCCTTTCTTCTACCCAGAAGGCCTTTGGGATCAGATTTTCTTGTCATTTTTCCTTATAATGGTAATACAATAACGAAAATAAAGAGGTTCCTATTATCCTGCTTGGATCTATCTGGGGTGTCTTAGCTAATATACCTTTCAGCCCACTTCCAAACCACTGGGTGGAGCCACAGGGACTCCATATTGATCTGTAACTGCCATTTCATTTCCTGTGTGGTTCCTGGTCCTTACTACTGTGTGCCCATCCTAGGCTATCTTGGTCTGATCTCAACAACTTAATTAAATCATGCTGTTGCCTACATCTGGGCCCTGAGCTGCCCTTCCTCCCTGAGCTGGGCCTAAGGGTGAATCCCAAAGATATCCAGGCATCTTTCACAGAATCTTGAGTGTTTTGACACTTCCTATTCCAATAGCCATGCTCCTATGTTGGCCCTTTAGTTCCCACTAATGCCCTGCCATCTTGGACCACAGCATGGGAGGGGGAGCAGATGAGCTCAGCTGCATGCACATCTCCAGGCTGAGCTGGCTGAGTGCCTGGGTCCACGAGCGGCACCCCCTTGTTTCTTCCCACCTCTCCCCAGCTCTGTACCCGGGACAGTGAGTGCTGTGGAGACCAGCTGTGTGTGTGGGGTCATTGCACCAGAAAGGCCATCAAAGGTGGCAATGGGACCATCTGCGACAACCAGAGGGACTGCCAGCCTGGGCTGTGCTGTGCTTTCCAGAAAGGTAGGTGGGACCCTGCATGGGTACAGGGAAGCCTGCCCCAAGCTCCAGTAGACTTGCCTGCTGGACCACAGCCTGTCACCTCCCCCTTGGCTCCTAAAATGCATAGGGCCCAGACCCACAACTCTGCCAGACTGTCTTTTTACTGTTTTTCCCTGTTGATACCTAAGCAACTTCCATTCTTTAAGGATGCATACACTCAGGGCAGAAGGAATGCCCCAGATGAAGGGTTCATGGATCCACTTGCTAGCCAGGACTGACTGTAGCCTAAGCCCAGGCCCTTCTTCCTGTGATTCACCCAGCTTCTTAGGCAAGGTGTGCACAGGCCTCTCTGCTCCCACCAGGGTGTCCAGAAGCTCTCTTTAGTTCCCTTCCCAGTTCCATCAGGTGCTGCCTCAGTGCATTTCTTGAAGGGTGACCTTTGGGCCTTTATTCCCTCTGGGACCTGCAGTAGCTACTATGTCTCCCACAGGCAAGATCATCTGCCCCCATCTTTTCCTGTACCCCACCCCAGTTCCATTCCAATTTTTCCTATTATGTTGACCTCCGACCTTTGCTCAGCTTGAGTGTCTTTTTTTCCACTCCTAATTTCTCCGGTTGAACTGGCCCTCAAAAGCCAGCTCACTTGTTGGTAGAATAGCTCCCTAGCTGCTCCAGTCCTCACAGGCCATTCCGTCCTGTGTACATAATACCCTTTCAGTCCTCTCTTTCCTCTTCCTTAATCATAATCTTACCTTGGCTTGCTAAGGAGGTCGGAGGAGGCTGTACCCATTTCCCTGATTGCTTCCAGGCCTGCTGTTCCCTGTGTGCACACCCCTGCCCATGGAGGGCGAGCTCTGCCATGATCCTGCCAGCCGGCTGCTTGACCTCATCACTTGGGAGCTGGAGCCTGATGGAGCTTTGGACCGATGCCCATGTGCTAGTGGCCTTCTCTGCCAGCCACACAGGTAAGGCCTCTCCCGCTAGGTGCAGAGAGCACATGAAGTGCCATGCAGCACTTCTGAAGAGCCTGAGGAAGATGTGGTTGCAGTTTAGGGGGGTATAAATGGAACTGTCCTTGGGATAACAGGTTGGGGTTCTGAGGTGCAGATCTGGGACTGTGGATGGTGACAATTTTCCCAAGAAGATGACCCAAGGAGAGAGTGTGGGAGAAAAGAACAAAGACTGGTGGAGGAGCCAGGCCCATCATTGTGATGGACGCCTGTCCAGCTGGAGGACAGGGTGCTGGCTGAGAGGCAGGAGGGAAAGGAATGGACCATCAAAGTGTCAGAGGCTGCCAGAACTGGCTCAGACACCGCCAGTATCTCTGTACCTGTTTCTGTCCTCCTAGAAGCCTGTACTTAATCTGCTTTGTGTATGTGCACACTAGTATTTGTGTGTGTGTCTGTGTGCATGCATGCCAGCACTGGGCCTTGAACTCTGTGCTTGAACTCTGCCCTTCAGTTTTTTCATTCAAGATTGTGTTTGTCAGGTACAAGTGTCTCACATCTGTAATCCTAACTACTTAGGAGGCTGAGATCTGTGCATTGTAGTTTGAAGCAAGCCTGGGCAGGAAAGTCTGTGAGACTTATCTCTAGTAAATTACTCAAAAAAGCAGAAGTGGTGCTGTGGTTCAAGTGGTAGAGCACTCAACCTTGAGTAAAAGCAGCTCAGGGACAGTGCTTAGGCCCAGAGTTCAAGCCCCACCTCAGGAAAGGTGGGGGAAGAAAGAGAGAAAGAGAAAGAGAGAGTACGAGAGAGAGAGAGAACGAGAGAGAGAGAATGAGAACTACAGCTCCATTTCTGGATCTTTTTGGTTGTGCCAGCAGTATTCAATCTTCTGTCCTAGCAGAATCCAGGGTGTCTGGGCAGATGGAATTCCCTCTTGTAGACTTCCAGGGACCCCAAAAGTGCAGCTGATGTGGGGGTTTAGAGTGTGTCTTATTGTCAGGCTTCCTGTCAGGAGTCCAGATGGGCAGGCAGCTGAAAGGACGCCATATGGCTCTAAAGCCTCAAGCCCCAGAGTCTTGGGGCTCTCGCTGTGCTACCAAGCCAGTAGAGGCAGTTCCAGCAAGCCAAGGCTACAGTTGGTGTGGGTTGCTCTGCTGGAGGACAATGTTCCAATTCATCTTTAGTAAGACATTTGCAGGAGGAGAGCCTTGTTGAGCCATATGAGGAGGTGCTGTGCAGGTGATGCTGGAGGCTGGTACAGAGCCTGGAGACCTCCTTTTCCCCCTGGCCAAGACACAGCCTTTCTCTCCCCAGCCACAGCCTGGTGTACGTGTGCAAGCCAGCTTTCGTTGGCAGTCAACCTGAGGAAGGCCTGCTGCCCAAGGACGTCCCCATGGAGTATGAAGATGGCGACATCATGGAGGCAGTGCGCCAGGACCTAGAGGACCTGGAGAGGAGCCTGGCCCAGGAGATAATGCCCAGGGATCCCCCCACTGAGCTTCTGGTTGGAAAGGAGATTTAGCTCCAGACCCATGCAGTGGGTAGATGTGCAATAGAAGTGGCTAATTTATTTCTTCAGGTGTGTCCCCTAGCTGTGGGCTGGCCAGGCTTTCTCTGTGTTCCCTCCCCAGTAAATTTTCACTTTGGCTTGACAAAATGAGATGTCATGTGTTTGTCTTGTAGACCCCACCTGTAATCCATGCACTCTCTGCTCTCTGCAGCACAAGAGGAGGGTGGGGCCCAGTAGCCCCATACTGTTGGCCACTTTGCCTCTATAGTGGACAGATGATATATTTTGTTCTATGTCAAACTGAGAATTGTCTAAAGGAGAAGAGGAAGAATAAGATGGAGGCTCCCCTTGATACGATTGCAGGGTGGGGGTGGGGTGTGTGGAAAAGGGTACCTGCTTTGCAAACATTATCCTGGCAGAAACAGCCCCTGACTTTTTCTGCAGTTCTCCTGGTGGGCAGAAGCAACTGCCTGGGGTCAGCTGTGCTGCTCATCCCAACTTCCCACTATCCACTCCACTTCCTACCCATCCATCCCTCAGTCATTCCCTCAGCTCCTACACCCGTCATTTCCTGCCCTCACTCTCTGGGGAAGGAACTCTTCTGTTTCTCAAGGACCTTGAAGACTCAGTTTCCTGTACAAGTTGCACAGCTAGTTTTATTGGGTGATCAGATGAATCACGGAGGTGTGACAACAAACCATGTGTTCTCCCATGTACCCCAAACTAGCCTCAGGGCCACCACCAACACCCTCAAAAGGAAGGAAAATGAGTGTTCCGTTTGAGGCATATCTGGAATCAAGGTCAGACGACTTCTTATGTCCCCTCTGAGATTAAATTTCTATGAGAAACGACGACATGGAGTGGTTATTCTCATGGAGACCAGTGGCATGGACAGTGTGCCTGTATTAGCAACTTTGAAGGCGCACTATTGGAACATGGGTTAACTTGCAGAAAACGTACTTAGGTAATGGTAGAGCCAGGATTGTAAATGAAATCTGCAAAATCATTCACAGCACCTTTAGAGCAGTATGAGCCACATGGAGAAAGTGAAATATGGCTGCAATAACCAACACTGAACACACTGAACTGGATGTCCTCCCTCAAAGGATATTTTTTTAGGTGCCAGAAATTGTTTCCATCCAGAGTTATTAAATTTTCAAGTTGCACACACTGTATAAGCATGCTTTCTTTGAGTTTTAAATTAGGTATAAACACATATGCTGCATTTAAAAATCAGGCATAAATCACTTCAACTACTCTTCCGTAGTTCTTGGGCTTTTTTCCTTTTGACTCTGAATAAAATATAAAACTCTTTCAGCCAGTAAAATAAAATAGAAATGACCTGTATTGAAAAAAAAAAGATTTCTTCCATAAAATCAAGATTTCCAGACATCTGAGCACACATACACACCCTTTTTTTTTTTTTCAGCATTGAAATAGTTCAGAAATCTTAACTATTTTCTGGATGGAAAAAGTTAATCTTAGGAGAGTAAATACTTCACTCCTGAAAGAACAAATCGGATATTTGAGTCTTTTTCTTGGATTCAAATGTAGTCCTGAGCCCATGTTATTCAGCTTTCTGTCACTGTAACAAAAACACCAGAGATCATTAACTTACAAAGAGAAAAGGTTTGCTTTGACTCACAGTGTGTGAGGTTTCAGCCCATGATCTTGTTGCTTGGAAACTGTGGAGGTCAGCACATCATGGTGGAGGCCAAGCTGTTCACCTCATGGCTGGGAAGTGAAATTGGGAGACTGGAGTCCCACCTTCCTTTTTTAAGAGTGCACTATCTCTTCCTCCCCCCAGCCAAAGATGAAGGTTATACTCCCTGCCAATAGTACCCTTGTGGGAACCAAGCCTTTAACACATTGGCTCTAAAGGATACTTTCTCTCACACTTTATAGCAGGGCAATGATATAGTAAGATTTTTAGATACTGTAATAATGAGGCTACCATCTGTATATTTAGGTCAGCAGACTGGTAGGCATCAGATTTGGGCAGTCTACCCAAATTAGTTCATTTCATCTTCACTGAACTCTGTTACTGTGTTTCTCATTTAATGGATGAAGAAATGGGGGTGTAAGAAGATGGGAGGTCAGTCAGAAACAATACCTAGTAGTATGTCCAGTATACAAATATGGTCACATACAGAGCAGTTCTCTATTCAGCCTCAACAAAGCACCAGGAACACTCTTCATCTTTATAGATCAGTAAGTATGTGCTAAGTGCCTGCTCAGCACCTGAGCTTTGACATGTGCTTGGGGTGTCACATTGGCAGAGTGTCCCTGCCCTGAAGGCATCACAGTCTAAGGAGGGAGGAGACATAGCTAAATTAAGCAACAGTACAGACACAGCCCAATATTAGAGTATTGCAGAATCCCAGATGCAGAGCTTGGCTTGGAGAGATGGTGTGGGAACTGGCTTTCAAAGATGGTATAAAGTTTCTCAGGAAACCAGAGGGAGCAGGAAAGGCATTCTGGGCCATGGGCAGAGGAAGGGAAGGAGGGAAGCAAAGAGGAGTGCTGTATAGGAGAAACATCAAGTCATTGGCCTTGGCTTGAAGGTGAGGAAAGCTTGAATAACTATTTGGAGAGGAAGCTGAACATTACTCATCCAACAACAAAATGTTGAGTACCCACCATATGCCAGGCTCTGTATTAGTGCCAAAGGAGCAGTGGTAAAGGAGATAAAAACAGCTCACTCTCCTGATTATCCTGCTCTCCTTTATCATAGTCACCAAAACAGAAGGAAGCGCTTTGCATAACACTTAGCTGAAATCCACATCTAGAGTAGATGGACAGTCAATTCTATATGCAGTGGGGGAAAACGTGACTAGATGTGGCTCTTTGACTCTCACTTCTTGTTCTCCAGATCCAGTTCCTGTCAAGGAAGCCATGGCAAATACTGAGTTAGGCTGCTTAGCAAGGGGGTCAAGGGAGGTGAGGCGATGTAAGGAAATAGCTGTCAGAAAGCTTCTATTCAGAAGATTTTCCCTTCTGGCCAACAAAAGGAAAGTCGCAAAGAAGAGAGCCTTATGTCCTTGTCCCTATGTGAGAACAGATGCTCAGGGTGTGACATTAGGTTCTGCAGCAGCCATCTGGGGGTCCTTCCTGGACACTCTAGAGGAGCATCTACTTCTTTGCCTCTTAGCTTCTAAGGTGGCGTATAGCCCCCTCTTCAAAGCCAGCAATAGCAGGTTTGTCCTCAAGTACTGTCTCTCTGGTTCTCTGTAGTGGAAGGTTCCTTACTTTTAAAACTGAGCTCTCCTCAATCTTTTCTTTTTTGGGGGAGGGGGGGTCTGGTTGTGGGGCCTGAACTCTGGGCCTGGGCGCTGTCCCTCAGCTCTTCAGCTCAAGGCTAGTGCTCTACCACTTGAGCCACAGAGCCACTTCCGGCTTTTTTTCTTTTTGCTTATGTGGTTCTGAGGAATCGAACCCAGGGCCTCATGCATACAAGGCAAGCGCTCTACCGAGCTACCTTCCCAGCCCTCTCCTCAATCTTATCAGAATAATTTTCCCAGAATCAGCAAAATCTTTCATGCCAATATCCTTAACCTTAACCTCATCAGCAGTCTCTGTACCACATAAGACAGACATTCACAAGATGCAGGATTTAAGCCATGGTCATCTGTGGGAAACCATTACTCTGCTTACCCTAGAGAGGTGAAGCTGAGCCCTGAAAATTGGGGGCTAGGGAAGAACCAATCCTGGTCACCAGTGTCTCTGGAAACTTCTAAAGCTAGCTACTGATATTATTATAGACAAAATTCCATGACCCTGTCATTTTGCAAAGCATTCCTCACGAACTATTTGCATGATACCGAACAGGCAGGAGAACTTAGCACCACTGGCTGAGCTTTTCACAGACAGCTAGAAAAAAGGGAGGCAGCGTAGGAGTGAAGAGAAGCAAGGTGTGAGAGGGAGGGCACAATGAGAAAAGGGGCAAGTGTCCCTATTTTCTGTAAACGCTAAATCTTCCAGAAATGCAGATAATTTGCTGAGATTACCCTCAATAGCTGGAGTTCCAAGTATGGTTGCACAGGACTAATGGAAGGCATTGCCATGGAGACAGCAGCACTAGAGTTACTCTGTGTAAATAAGCCTGGAAAAAGGGGCAGGAGATGCCCCGTGTGAAGGTGCAGTGTTTCTGTTGCAGAGAGGTTGGCAAAAGACGTAGTCAAATTTCACAAGAATCTCAGTGTTGGAGTTGAGTCTCTTGCAGACAGGATCTGTGGAACAACGGCTTTCAAGTTTGTAAGATTCAAGCAGTGTGGCCTCACCTCTACCAACAGGCAACAGTTCAGGAAGAGATGTCATTCCATCTTTCCTACCACTTTCTGCCATCACAAGTGTTGCAGGAAGAGCAGTCTGACCACACATTCTCCTCCCAGGGGGGATAGCACAGTGGCAAGCTGGGGGGCAGGGGAGAAGAGGAGGCAGTCATGGAACTTTGAAGAGGCTGAATTTAACATCTGATCTCAATTTAAGATCAGATCACGTTAGTAACTCAAAGTGATTAAAATTAGAGGATGTCACTGAAAGCTTGATGAGAACCCATTTCCCAGGGGAAACCTCCATAATACAATGAGCAACAAGAAAAACCATTACTGCTTATTCATTTCCACAAGTTAGAAATTTTTATTGGGGGAAGGGGTAGGATTAACCTAGGGTCTCACTTAGCTCAGGCTGGCCATCTTCCTGCCTTGGTCTTCTAGGTGCTGGGATTACACAGAAGTGGGACTTGGCCTACCTGGTTCATTAGTTTGGACTCTAAGCAGGCTTCTTCAGTCTCATATTGGAGGCTGGAAACTGTGTACTGTCTATGAGGGGAGGCAGCAATAGGGCAGAGAACACAGGAGGGCTTTATTCACTCATAATTGGGGGTGGGACTAGGGCAAGCAAGGCTCAAGGAGTAGAGCACTCAGGCTGAGTTCACATTCCCAGTACTATAAAAAAGCAAAACAACTACTAATAAAATAATTTGGGGCTGAAAAATTCTTGGTCCTAACCCACAAAGACTGATCTCTCTGGGGTGGTTAGTAGCTGAGAAGTGAAAAGTACTGACAAGGGGAATGGGACACAGCATTGCCTGAGATCTTTAGTGGTCCCAGGCTGGCCCCGACTTACAGCTGGATATTTCTCTAAAAAATGTTCACACATACTTCAATGCATTCTTATTTATCCAGTTGTCTTGTTTCTGAAAGCCAAGTTGTAAAAAATTAACACTGGATCTAACCAAATGTCATGGTCTCCCTCTTCCTCATCACATGGAAAGAGCCTCTTGATTTCTCACACGAAACCAAGGTGACCATGAGCTTCTCTGGACTGCGAAAGGTCCAATATAACTCCCTTCAATCCTCCTAGAAAAAAACATACTTACAAATTTCTATCAGGCTCCAGAATCATGGAATTCTTAGTTTTTGACTGTTGGCGACTGGAATACTGGTTTTCCAAAAATTACACAGAATTGTTTGGACGGAATAGTTTTATTTAGCAAACCCAAAACTTGCTAATTCAGAGTTTCCTATTCAGTGACTGTACTAAAGATCATAATTTGCAAGTATCAAGTGCAAAGTTGGTCAGGGCCTGATGCTGAAGAACAGGACAGTTCCAGAGGGACGTCAATATCCAATCAAAAAGGAAATACTTGCCAATGACAAGAACAAAAGATTTTTATTGTGATTCATACATTCCCAGATCACTTCTGGGTTTAGTGACAGCACTGCAGTGTGGTGATGCTGTGCACTTGATGACTGGCGCTCTTTCAGCCACCGTGTATAAAGTATCACAAACCACTCCAAACAGTGCGTATGCCACTAGTGGCTCTTCACTGTTTTGTAGGTGGAATACC